GTAGGGTGTGCCGTCAGTGTGACAGTTATTTAAGCAGTGGGGTGATGGTGGGGAGTGCCATTGCTACAGCCATCACTGCTAGCCCACTGTTACGATTGCCCTCATGGAATTATGGTGATGAAGGAAATGATGGTGATGATGTGATGACGGTGATGATGATTACTCTTGGTCGCGGTTGATCACCTATGATTACATATGTTCCTTCTAATCCTCCCTACCCCCCTTCCCACCCCCTCTCCATCTCTCTCCCCTCTTCCCACCCCCTCTCCATCTCTCTCCCCCCTTCCCACCCCCTCTCCATCTCTCTCCCCCCTTCCCACCCCCTCTCCATCTCTCTCCTCCCTTCCCACCCCCTCTCCATCTCTCTCCCCCTTCCACCCCTCTCCATCTCTCTCCCCTCTCTATCTCACTCCCCCCGTCCCACCTTCTCTCTATCTCTCTCCTCCCTTCCCACCCCCTCTCCATCTCTCTCCCCCCTTCCCACCCCCTCTCCTTCTCTCTCCCCCCTTCCTCCTTCTCTACCTTCCATCCTCCCGCGTCATCTACCTACACGATTATTTCCTCGTTTATTTCGTTTGACAACAAAGTAAAGCACTGGGTGCGGTGCATTTCACAGCAATCATGTTTTCTTCCAAGGCTTCGAGTATCATTAGTTCACAACTATTTAATGTTGCAGTTTCTTTTTCTTTCTTCTGCTTCATCTCCTTTCTTCTATTCCATCTTCTTTCTTCTACTCCTTTCTTCTTTCCTCCTCTTCTTTCTCCTTTCCTCCTCTTCTCCCTTATTCGTTTTCTTCTCTTTCTCTCCTTTTCTTCTGCTCTTTCTATTTCTTCTTCTTCCTCTTCATCTTCATCTTCCTCTTACTCATACTCTTTCTCTTCCTCTGTAAATTTATCTCCTCCCCTCCTCTTTCTTCTCTCTCTCCTCTTCTTTCTTCTCACGCTCCTCGTCCTCGCCCTATTCCTCTTTCTCCTTTTCCTCCTCTTTCCTCTTCTCCTCTTTCTTTTCCTCTTCTCTCGGTCTTTCTCTCTCTCCCCGTCATAACTGCGTGAGTGTTACCCAAGATGTTCCACGAGGCTCAGCCGCAGCGCAATCCCAGTGGAACCTTTTCAGATGAATTGATGACTCCCGGTGTTGAGTGTATGTTGCCGCGTACTGCCGCTTGTTGTGCTTGCCTGCCTGCATTGCTTTTCCGACTCCGTCCTGGTCCCGCGCCCACCTCCGGCCGGATGGATGTTTCCCCTTTCTCTGTTTCCCCTTTCTGTCTAATTCCCGTCGCGCAGTTGCTTGCAGCACGCGTACACTCACACTTACATGCACACGGATATTTACATTCACACGCACATGCATAAATAGACGCACATGCACAGGCAGACGCACATTCGCTCGTTGGCGCACATTCACTTTTACACGTACACGTGTGTGTATACGTAATAAGTACGCGTGTACGTATCCACACATAATGAGCATCGCCTCGACGTCCACCACTGAATGCTGTTTAGTGTAAGGGATAATGGACGTCCTCGAGAGCGTTTCTCTAATTGGATATAAACCGACATAATACAGAATGTAGATTTAGATGCAGACACGGGTGCAGATACAAGTACAAATTGTATACAGATATAGTATCAATGTATATCTATATGTATATGAATATATATGTGAATACGCACGTACTGTCGCATACACTTACACACGAGCCATACAGTCGCGCACACATGCTTATATTATATGTTATATACTGTATGTTGTATGTAATAGAGGTCGTATATTGCAAATGAACGATATATATTGTATGGCTGATAGATATTGTGTTAACATTATGTATAATATATTCTGTACACAAATAAAATATTATGTACCTCTATGCTTTCGGTAAACCCTAAAACAATGCATAGGCTTTACTGCATTGGGAAAATTCGTAAAAGAATAAAGAAAAAGAAAAGAAAAATCTTTTGGCCTTAATGAAAGCCAAAGCCGAGACTTCCTTCCTTCGACCCCCCCCCCCCACCTGTCGAGCAAGAGGGAGAGGGTCGAGTACCTTCCCGCCGCCGCCCGCATGTGCAATGACCGCCCGTCCTCTGCCGCGATCGGGTCTGGGCGGCTGCGGCTGCGGGGAACGTGTGGAAGGGGGGAGGGGGGGGTGTGCTTGCTTGCTTCGCGCTATTCAATTCAGTTATTATTTTTTGTCTTCTGCTTCCTCCTCTCCTATTTTCGTCTCTCTCTCTCTCTCTCTTTTCTCTCTCTCTCTATCTCTCTCTCTCTCTCTCTCTCTCTCTCTCTCTCTCTCTCTCTCTCTCTCTCTCTCTCTCTCTCTCTCTCTCTCTCTTTTTAACTCTCTCTCTCTCTCTTATTATCTTTCTCTCTCTCTCTCTCCCCCATCTTCCCTTCCCCATCCGTCCCTTCCCTCATTAATTTCCCCTTTCCTTCCCCTCCCTTCCCTCCTCCCTCCCTCCGTCCCCCCATCTTCCCTTCCCCACCCGTCCTTCCCCTTCTTCATTTCCCCTTTCTTTCCCTTCCCTCCCCCCATCTTTCCTTCCCCTTCCCTCCTCTCCTATTTCCTCCTTCCTTCCTTTCTTCCCTCTTGTGTGTGTCCTCTTTCGTGAGTTTATCAGACAAGGTAACGTTTGCATTATAGTGGCGGTGATATTAATGCTGATCATAATAATAATGATGAAGGTAATAATAATAATGATGGTGATTGTGGTAGTACAGACTAATATATAGTGTTTGATGTCGAGGGTGAAGAAAATGACGACAATTTTATTATGATGATGAAAGTGATGGTAATGACTAAAATGATGACGACGAAGGTGATGAGATGACGAAAATGATGGTGATGACGAAGGTGATGAGATGACGAAAATGATGGTGATGACGAACGCGATAACGACGATGAAGGTGATAATGACGACGAGGGTGATGAGATGACGAAAATGATGGTGATGACGAAGGTGATGAGATGACGAAAATGATGGTGATGACGAACGTGATAACGGCGATGAAGGTGATAATGACGACGAGGGTGATGGTGATGGACTCGATGTCATGCCGGCGCTCTGATGTCAGGGATTAGTCTCACTGAGTAGGATACATGACTCGGCGCTTTCGCTTGCACTGGTGATCTGTTGCTCGGGTGGGTCGTGCAGGGGGATTCGGTGGGTTTGGTTGCCTGTCGGTCCGTCGGTTGGCTGCCGAGGCGGTCCGTCGGGTAGTCGGTCGGTTTGTTCAGTCAACCAGTCAGTCAGCAAGTCGACCAGCTGATCAGCTAATTAGTCAGTCAGAAAAAAAAAATCAGCAGCGACAACCAGATTCGAGGTAAACAAATAAACAAACAAACAAGCAAGCAAGCAATCAAGTACACCGCCCAGCCAAACCCGTGTGTGACACCATGCACCTGCAAGACGGCGGCTTTGATTGTAAATATTCCATCCATCGCCCTCATTCGCTCGTAAACGTTTCACTCTGTCTGTCTGTCTGTCTAGTTGTCTAACTCTCACCGCGTCTCATCGTCTCTCCGTGGCCGCCTCCCCAGTCTCACCGTCTTCGTATCTCTCTCTCTCTCTCTCTCTCTCTCTCTCTCTCTCTCTCTCTCTCTCTCTCTCTCTCTCTCTCTCTCTCTCTCTCTCTCTCTCTCTCTCTTTCTCTCTTTCTCTTTCTCTCTCTCTCCCTCCCCCCCTCCCCCTCCCTCTCCCTCCCTCCCTCCCTCCCTCCCTTCCTCCCTCCTCTCCCTCCTCTCCCTCCTCTCCCTCCTCTCCCTCCTCTCCCTCCTCTCCCTCCTCTCTCTCTCTCTCTCTCTCTCATTCTCTCTCTCTCTCATTCTCTCTCTCTCTCTCTCTCTCTCTCTCTCTCTCTCTCTCTCTCTCTCTCTCTCTCTCTCTCTCTCTCTCTCTCTCTCTCTCTCTCTCTCTCTCTCTCTCTCTCTCTCGCCCTTTCCTACGTAGCGGCTGCGAATCTTTTGTTTATCGCCCGTCGTAAATACCGAACGCGGGCGAGTATGTTTTGTCCTTGGAAGGTGCGGAGAAAAACCTTTCTGGGAAGGGGAGATGAGCGTTTTCTTCTTTTCTTTTCTTTTCTTTTCTCTTCTTTATTTGTCTGTCTGTTTGTGCCTCGCTATCGGTCTTGCTCTCTTTCTCATTCACTCTTTTATTTTGTCTCTTTTTTACTCTCTCTCTCTCTCTCTCTCTCTCTCTCTCTCTCTCTCTCTCTCTCTCTCTCTCTCTCCTCTCTCTCTCTCTCTCTCTCTCACTCACTCACTCACTCACTCACTCACTCACTCACTCACTCTCCTTCTTTCTTTCCTTCTTTCTTCCACTTTCTCTTTCTTTTCCCCTTTTCCTTTCTTTCTCTCCTTCCCTTTTTCTTTACCTTTCTCTTTCTCTCTCATCTTCTGTCTGTCTTTATCTCTCTCTGAAGATCCAGAAAAGCCTAATCGTTAAGGTATGAAGAAAAAAAGACACCTTTTCGTACAGCCATGTGGCACTTGCGGCTGACTGGCTCGCGTGCAGGCCTAATCCGCTCCGGCCGAACGGCGTGAGGATTTTGCGTTTCATCGGCGGGGGCGGGGGGGGGAGGGGTCGGAGGCGGGGGAAGGGGTTGAGATGGGCGAATGGAAGGAGGAATGGGGAGAGAGGGAGAAAAGGAAGAGAAGGAGGGAGAGGGAGGAGAAGGGAGTGGGAGTGAGGAAGGAGAAGAGGTGGATGGCGGAGACGAAGAAAGGGAGGAGGGAGGAAGGGATAAATGGGTAAAGGATCGAAGGGAGGTGCAGGGAAGGGAGTTACGAAGAGCGAAGACGGAAAGGAAGCGAGATAAAGGGAAGGAAGGACAAAAGGGAAGGGGATAGAAGAGGGAAGGAAAAAGAAGAGGGTGGGAGAGACAGAGAAAGAGAGGCAGGCGGCAGGCAAATCTCGAAAAACAAAAGTATTGCGTTTTAATCCTTGGGTACGAATGCCAGGGTGTAGGGGGAGGGGGGGGCAGGGGAGTGGAAAGGGGGAAGGTAT